CGACGGCCACGCCCTCGCCTGGGCCAAGCAGCGGAAACAAAACCTAATAAGGACGCTCTGTACGCCCGTCCTCGCACATAGACAACAACGAGCGGCCAGCAGGAGCTGCCAAAACTTACTGCTCTGCAACGTGAAGCTTCTTTCTTCCGCGTCGAATGACGTCAACTGCATTGTAAGAAGTCTCTCCGAGTATGCAAATACAACCGGCAAATTAGGCGCGGATTAACATTTCAGTTAAAATCAAAATTCTTTCATTACATTTGTGTTTTTTCTTATTCTGTGTGTCTAACGAAACGATTGACGTCATTCACATGCACTCGGGCTCCTTAGTTTTCCACGAATGTTTGCATGTATTTAAAATTAGTAGTATCAATATATTGATTCTCACATTCGTTCCACGAATACATATCTGAATGGAAGGTGAATGATTTTTGCAGTTCGTCGGTACCAGTTATAAACATCAAATAATAAAGTAGTTGTAACATTTTGCATTCCTATTTGGTCACGCTCAGTTTACTCCTAGAGTGACAGGACTACAAGGCGCTATTTCGCAGATACAAGTCGAGCTGATGTCATCTCGGTAAAACCATTATAAAGAATGCCTCGCAATGAAAGAATCGTTTAAAGAAGCAAAAACAGAGTAAATGGAAGCCACCCCATTACAACACCAGAATCATTTATTTCGTCAGGGCCTAGTAAAGGATCCCTTGCGTCATCCCTGTGAACTTGGATGTCCGCCGAAGGAGGTGCAGAACTCACCTTGAGTCCGGTGCCGGCGCACGCGACGCCGAGGGCCATGGCGGCGCCGTAGCGCACGTGCGGGTTGTAGCTCTCGGCCAGCAGCGACACCACGCTGGGGCACTGCTCCGGGGTCCTGCAATCACACACGAAGCAACGCCCGTTACAAACACACTCTCGGCAATTCATAATAATAAAAGTCTTTCTGGACAGCCCTTTACTTTTATGGCTTGCCCAGCGTGCTAAACGTTCAGATAAAACTGAGTGGAACAAATAAAACACAATTCTTTCGTCTGCAGCAGCTCCATCTGACCGTAATATAGCGTGGTACCCAATTAAGTGATTTGTACACGTGAATTAAAGTAAAAGGTTAATCAGAATGATTGTCTACAAAATAGTGTATGACACATGTAAAAGTAATGTTATTTTGTTTGTAGGATTGCGCCACTCGGTCTGTTGGCCTCGTGTCGCATCATTTCCAACTCGCAAAATAAAATGCAAGGAGCTCAACGAAACAAGCTGGACAGACCGAAGAGCAGGCCTGGTCACCTCTCTACATTAAATAAAGCTGGAAAGATTTCTTTATATACACACATCTGCACTAATAAGGGAAAACGAGGAATTGAGTTACCGAAAACTTCGATGTCTCACCATTTGTGCTCGCAAGAGTCGCGCGTGATGGGGAAAAATACATTTTGAAACACCTGGAAATTTGAGATTCGACGTTGGAATGTTCGCGAATCGTCATTCAGCACCGATTTTGTTGAATACTTTACTGAGAAAAATACTGGTTTGCAGTAACAGATTTCTGTTTGCTGCAGCCCCGCAGAGTTTCATTACATAACCCTCCTGTCCTCGATTCCGATACTCGGGAATCAGTTCAATGTAATAGTGTGTTTCCCCGTTTCCATGGATCGCGTTCCTTCCCACTGTGCTACCGCAGTTGTTGGGCGTCCGCTGGCGTCGGAAGGCCCCGCTGCGCGCGCGGTGACGGGTGGCCGTGTCCCGCGCGGTGACGAGCGCTGACGCGGCGCGCCGCTGTTCCACCTGGGCCTCGCGCTCGCGCGACATTTCGCGTCGCGTCGCGTCGCGTCACGCGGACTCGCAAGCGCCTACGCCGCCGCACGCACGCGCCATGGCGGAAATACATGGGCGAGTTCCTCCGGCGCACCGATGTTTGCGTCACGAACTACGGCACGGCCACTTCGATTCAAAGGCCAGACTAGCCGCTGGCCGCCGTGTTGCATGGAGAGCGACAAGTGTTGAACAACTTTTGAAAGTGGCATAAAGCGTCTGTTTTCAACGGTAACCTACCAAAAAGAACACGATGAAGGTATACAAGACGCAATATTTTAGAAACATGCTTCATGAATCTGTTTCAACGTCTTGTAGCGAGGTGATAATTTTGGTACCTGACTGCATCTAAAATTCCCGCTAATATTGTGACGCAAACTGGTGTCTGAGCGCATTGGCTGAAGCCGGATACGATGCGCAAAGACCCCCCCCCCCTGCACGTACCACTCTCATACACGGAGGGCTGCGGGCTGCGAAAGAGTTGCCTCAGATCAACCGCCTTTGGCGATTGCATCACCCGACACACGGCCTGTGATCTTTTAGCAACCCTTTTAATAGTGCCCAAACTTCTCCGAATTTTTTAGTACATTCAATTTCACGATCTCCAGAGAAGAAATTGGTGCTTCTTTGACATTTAATAATTATAATTATGGAAGTGCATTCATTTATGCCACATGCAAAATCCGTATTCCAAAGCCAATTTCGGATACACGTTCACTGCGAGACGTTCACATTTCGTACCTAAGAGGACGGCATAATTGAACTCCCTCACCCAAATCAAAAGTATTCACGGCGTGTTGGAGATGCTAAGGGATGCGGTTCGGCCGAGCGCAGAGGCCTACGTGCCATCAGCCCCCGCACCTCGAGGGAAGCCCGGGTCGCGGGGCAGCAACAGGTGCTGCTGGCGCATCGACCTCGGGGCTGGCGCCGCCGCTGGCCGGGCGGAGGCGCTGCCTCTACAAGCGGGCTGAATTGTTCATTGGGAGGGGCGCGGCTCGGCCATGGGGCCACAACACGCGCAAGTGGTGTCTTTGATATCGCAGGCGGAGACACTACTCTGCGGATGCGCACCACATTGTCTCATAGTCAAGCAACAAGAGTCGATATTGTATATATTATGTATAAGCGGCATGTGTGCGCGTTCCATATCGAGAGGTGGAGGGGGAGGCAAGTCCATTTCTGAGTCGCCTTTCCCGATAAACCTTTCTACATACATGCAATTTACTAGTAAAAAAAAATAAAAAAAGAATGGAAATGAAACTGTAATGACACAATTACTAAACACAAAGATTCTATGTTTAACAACTTCGTGGGTTACTAGTTGGCTTCAGACCCATTTCTCAGGAAGTGGTAGAACATATTTATGGGATTAACATGTTTCTTACGTAAGGCTAAAGCGCCTCGTTTCACATTCTCAGGCCCACATGGCGCCTCCGTGCGCCAGGTAAGTGTCGAATGTACGTTCCGTCGCTTTGTGAAAACAACAAGAAATAAAACTTGCTGATGTCGTGGGCCGTCTCTCCCGGTACAAGCCCTGTTTCGAAGTGTCATCTTCCTCCTGGGCCTGACCCACTGTTCTACTGTCGCTACGCTGCGTTTGATGGGCGAGCGGTCCACCGCGCGGGCAACAAGAGCCGTCAGAGCACGGGTCGCAGCCTTGGCCGCCGCATCCCCCGTAAGCCAACCGCCGCGCAGCCTCGTCGCCCGGCGCAGGTGGCGCTCTATTCAAACGCCGCCATTGAGCGCGGCTCGCCGGCGCGCCTCTTTCCGACGGTTTGATGTACGCACGCGCGTGCGCCGCGAAGCCCCGCGCCCCGTCATCAGTCAACGCGCACAATGGCGGCGCGCCGCGCGCCCACACACCGCCGCCGACGCAAATTCAAGGTAATGGCGAGTCAAGACTGTCGTTATTAGCGACAATGAAAGGCCCCCCACGACCCCATCAATTCAAGGCTGTCTCCTGCATTTACGATGTCGCCACGAACTATGAATAAACGTTCACTAGCCCCACTAACAGTACGTTCAATGACAATAAATTATACAAATGTCTCTGTCCATGGAGACCTTCTAGATTCTGTGCAGCCCTCGAACCAATGTAGCACATTCACACCGGCCGAATGTCGAACGATTCCATTATTGGTTTGAACACAACTGAGGGACGCATCTCTAGATAGTCCTACAAGTAGTATATTTTCGACAAAAATAAAAAAAAAGCAAAATCCTACAGTGATGCTCTCCCCATCGAGTATTACAATTTGTGCCGAGTAATGTGGTCCAAAAGACGCTGTACTGCAGAGACATTTCTGTTTACTCTACGTCAAACCATTGAAAATTGCATTATCTTATATCTCAGAAGAACTCGTTGCGGCTTAAGACTATGTAGAGCCGAGCCCTTCACCCTTCTGCAACGAAAGCTTTACCTCCGTGGCTAATGAGTGCGCGCGGAGAGGCTTCGCCGCGCTGACAAGCATTGTGGTCGGGGTGAGCGCGCGAACGTCTGCTTAATATTCGCGCGCCCATTGTCTGGGGGCGGCGCGCGAGCGCGCTCGCACCAGCGCCCGAGGAGAGCGACGTGCCCCGCATGCAGGAGAGGGCGTAGCCGCGTGCGAGCGCAGAGAACGACGCACGCTGGCGAGAGCGACCGAGGAGACGTGCGACATGGGAATGGCGGCGTAAGCAAAAAGACGCCTGAGCGGTGGGGGGCGGGTAGGCGGGATAACCATGTGCGGTCTCCCACGAGGGCGGGCGGCTCGTTTCAAAGCGCGGCTCACTGCTCTTCGAGCTCACCGCCACCCCACGCTGGAAATGAGTCCGCTAGACGAACGATGTGTCGCTCTATGAAGGTAGCGAAATGACGGTCAGCCGAGAGATGAAAGCGTCCTGCGGCGTGCCGGGCTCTCAGGTGGGCGCGGCTCTCGCCGAGGGGGCGGCGGGGGAGGAGCCGCAGGGCGCGCGCAGGCCGCCACTAATCAGCGCACTAATTAAAACCAGTCCCCGGCCGCCGCCGGATTTCGCTAAGAGAATCCGCAAACGGAGGCGGTCGACCGCTCCGGTCCGCTCCCCCCAGGCTCTGCTCTCCAAGCACTTGCAAGCACCACAGACAGCAGTGCTTACTAACAAGCTCACGACAAATTAAATTAATTACAATATTTCATTCTTCTCATTGCGTGCAGCTATTTGCTTCTATTAAATAACGCCGTTAAGCGAGATGGAAAAGAAATTAAAACATTCGCATGCTAGGCGAAAAGCGCCGAGATAATCGGAAGACAGGAACCTGGAGACACTCAACGCCATCGTTATAGAAACAAGCAATGTAAGAGTACAAGGTTCAATTCGAGTAAGGTCCAGTGCTGAGAATAAGGGCGAGGAAAACCTCGCAATATTTATTATCTGGTGGAAGATTGTCACTAGTCGACACGGGACTCCGACGCAGTCGTTTTCTCTCGGTAAAGAAATGAACTTCCCCCGAAAAAAGTGACTCTCTCTCATCTTCAAGTGATTTATATCTTCTCGTAGCATTGGGGCACAACAGACATCGAGGGAATATATCAAACTCGTAATATTTTAAAAATAATCACAGCGAATAACTGACATACGTTTAAAGAAAAAGTAAGCAAAGACCACACGATAATTGAACTGGTTTTGATAAGAAAAATGTAGCTGATTTTCAACAAATTTGTCCTTGTACGAAATATGCAAAATTGTTTGATAACAATATTAAAGCTGGCATATAGGCGAAGGCTATTACCCGGGACACATGTCCCTGGCAGGCCAAGTCATTTTCCACGTGGAGCAATTTTCAGCCCCGGCCAATCGTCCCTGCAGCACATCTCTCCGTGAGGCGCGCGCAGCCACCTCTACGGGGGAGCAGCGCCTCGCAGTGCGGGCGGGCGGGGGGCGCTGCAATTACGCGAGGGGCGGTGCCCGGGACGGGGCGGGGCGGGCGGGGCGGGGCGGGGCGCGCGGGAGACGCTAATGAAAAATGAGGCGGCGATCGCGAAGCGCTGAGGCGCCGGCGCGGTGCGGCGTCTTGGCGCCATACAAAGGCGCGGCGGCGCACAC